GTTAATTTAAATATTGTACATGTGCTGCCATCTATGTTTAAAAATTTGTATTTCAATCGAGGTAACGTCAAATCGCCAGATATAGCGATCTATTATACTTGTTTATCTATGGTATGAACCTTCTATAAAAGTTTAGCATGCCCAAAAACCGCCTCAGCTCTTGCATTGTCGCTGGCTTTGTGAATGTCCTAATAGCTTCAACCTTCTCTGGCAAGGGGCGAGTACCCTCAGCCGAAACCTCATATCCCAAAAACTTTACACTTGTTTGGCCGAACACACATTTAGTTGGGTATATTACCACTCCAAATTCCAGAAGTTTACCAAACAGTGTCTCTAGGTGTGCCATATGTTCTTCCTCGGACGACGAAGCTACAAGAATATCATCGATGTAAGCGTAACAAAAATCTAACCCTTGCAACACCTCATCGATAAATCTCTGGAATGTTTGCGCGGCGTTGCGCAACCCAAACGTCATGTACGAAAATTCATATAGTCCAAACGGTGTTGTAATAGCGGTTTTTGCGATATCTTCTTCCGCCACCGGAATTTGGTTAAACGCCTTCACCAAGTCTATAGTCGAGAATATAGTTTTCCTGTCTAAGGCTTGGGCGAAATCAAGAATATGGCGTACTGGATATCTGTCAGGCTTCGTACGCGCATTCAAACCTCTATAATCGCCATATGGACGCCACTCATCACACTCTTTTGGAACCATATGTAGCGGGGCTGCCCAACAACTTTTCGATGGTCGAGCCGTTCCTAATTTCAGCATAGCTTCAAACTCGTTTCTAGCAGCAATTAGTCTGTCCGGAGCTAATCTCCGAGATTTTTGAACTACCGGCGGTCCAGGACTGGTTTCTATATGGTGCTGCGTCGCGTGCTTGCGTAACCTAACAGCGCCGTCTGGTCGTGTTAAACCAGGAAACTTTTCAAGCAACTTATGGTACGCCGTTGAACCCGTTACCACCTTTATAGTCGCTATTGCTCCCGCTGTAATATCCGCCTGCGCCGTTAATCCTGTCATAGCATCCGTTATTTGACGACTTTTCACATCCACAATCAAACCGTAGTATGCGAGAAAATCTACACCAATTATTGGTTGCGTAACGTCTGCTATAATGAAGTTCCATGACAGGTCGCGACGTAGCCCAAGATCAACCACCATTGCCACCGTACCATAAGTTGCAATCGTCGTATTATTTGCGGCGGCTAGCTTATATGCAATATTCTTCCTATTTGGATTGCATAATAATGAGCGCGGAAACGCTGAAACGTCTGACCCCGTATCAATCAGGTACGACACCTGACCCTAGACCTTATACAATTTCATGGACTGCTAGTCCCCATACATTTCTCAAGTAAAAAAGTGTCAAAAGATGTTCTATGGTATGAGGGCAAACGAGGGTAATTTTGCGGCCGAGATATGTCAAACTCAATCGCTTGAACGTCAAATGAAAGTCCGTGTGTTCGAAATTGTTGGGAAAATATTATATAATATACAATTTATGTTAAACTAATAAATGTAATGAACTATTTATATATTTATTTATTTTTTTTAGTTATACAAAGTGTTTAAGGAAAATAAGAAAAAAAAATTAAAAAAATATTTTACGTATTATAAAATTCACTATTTGTGAAGAGCTATTATGGGAAATTAGAAAGAAATAATGAAATATTTGTTTAAATGTAATATATTTATTATTGATGTTTAAAAAGCACAATTTTTGTATGAAAGTGGCGTACATATTTATCAACTTTGCTTTTTTTATGTTCTTCATGGTAAATTCTAATTGTTAAATACATTTTTGCGACAAAGTTGATAAGGTCATGATAGTGCTGGACAAATTGCTGGAAATGGCTTGATCTAAAAAAATGTGCAAGTCCCAAGTCATTCAACTTTCGGAGAATCGTGCTTTCATATGAACTTTTGTACATTAAATTTAAAGAATTTTGAATTAGGGTTTCTATATATAAATATAATTTAAACATTTCATCGGAAGGATATGAAAGATATCCTCGATTTTTTATATCGATGAATGTCGAATTTCCCGGAATACTTGCGAAGCATTTAGAACAGGTTTTACTGCAATCAGGAACTTTACCACAGACCAAACACATTTTAGAAGACATTTTACTTTTAACAATTTTACAACAGGTATATTTTTATCCTCTTTTAGTTTAAAAACCCGAGCGATCAAACATCACGCGAACCCAAGTAACTGTAAAATTTAAGCGATCGATTGCATTCGACTAATCTCGGTAAAGCTCGTGTTCGTATTTGACATATCTCGGCCGCAAAATTACCCTCGTATGCCCTCATACCATAGAACATCTTTTGACACTTTTTATGCGCTCAACTAGCAGTCCATGTATTGTATTCGCTCAGAGCGTGACTGCAGCGCCCATGCAGCGCTGGAATAAATATGAACTAACTAAGGCTATCAGTGTGTGGTTTTTATGGGTTTTATATGTTTGTTAAAGAAAAAAGATATTAAATAATTGTTATAAATAATAATAAACATTATACAGTAATAATGTGAACGCTCAATATTTATTGAAATTATTAAATTTACTTCAACGCACTTAAAACATAGTTAAGTGTAATGATTAATTTAAAAAGGAAATGCAGTAAACATTTTTAAGGTTAAGTGCCTTAAAGCATATGTCATGAGCTCGGAATAGTTCTTGATAAAAACAATATAATAATGATAAAAATATGTTATCAATAGAATAAGTAAATAATAAATTAATTTACTCATTTTTTTATTGTTTTTGGTCAAACTAAAGACTTAGACATTATTATAAAGACATGATTTAGGCATTATTATAAAGACAAGACCCATCAAATAAAATTGCAGGAAAAAAACGACTTTAACTTTTCGAGTCTTGTAAATTGAAGGAAATATTACATTATTGCAATATATTACAATATATTGCATTATTTCAGCATTGTATTATTTAAACTGATTGTATAATAAACATTTTACGCCTTTTATTTTTCTTTTAATCACAAAATTACATTTATTATATAATAACATGTAATTAATAGATAAATAATAGTTACACATAATCAATATACAATATATAAATATATATTTATCATTATTTCAGCCTTGTATTACATTGTTTGCAAAACATTTTTTTCTAGTAAGCATTAAATTTTGATAAAATAACAATTTATTGACTTATAATTTTTCTTTTTGCTAAAAAACATAACAATTTTCCAACTATTCACAGTACTCCGAATTGAATTTTTATAACTATAAGGTTATGATACTTACTTTATTCTTCTAACCGCAGCGATCCACTTTTCCCATTGATTTTCTTTCCACTTAGCTGTAGAAAATGTATAGAATTTGCAGTCACTTTTTCTGCTAGTATTTCTACAACCCACTATACAACAGCTTTGGTGGCTTATTTTTAATTATCTTATTTAAATTTGAAATAAACCAATATGTTATGTGTTTTTGTTTAAAATTTCTGTTATAGTAGCTTACTTTAATGCTCAAAGTAGCCACAACGAACGCTTCGGTCGATTTGACTTCCCCTTCCATGCCTTCGCACATAGCCAATAAGGTCTATGCACCTGACTCTTTCTGTCACTTAGGCAAACACGGCGGCTTATCTGTCTCTCTGGGCGTAAATCGTTTGCCGCTAATAACGATGGCCCACGGAGTTTTCCGAACGCATCTGGCACGGCGATCGGCATCGCGTTGCGTTCCGACCAAACCGTCGATGATCTTCGCACAGCGTTCGTACGCGCTCTTCCGAGCCTGACCGAGCGCTCGCGGGCGTACGCGATCTGCGCCTACGACGAAGGGATGAACCGTCTCGTCGGCGCTCTACCTGCTTCCTCAGGTCAGAAATCTCTGCTCGCATATTCCGCAAGTCCGACGCGATGTTGCCGTAAAAATCATCCGCGTGCGACGATGTGCTTGCAAACGCCATTGTTGTTGCACCCGATGCTGTCTCCAATTCCATAATTCTGTCGGCGGCTTTCGCATTCAAATCTATGTCACTGTTTTCCCCTACAGATATTAACGCTTGCACAAGCATAGGCAAGCGCGACGACCACATTAAGTTTAGCATTTCTTTTGAAACAGCTAAACCCGCTAATGAGCGTAGGTGCCGTAAAAATTGTGATGGGGTTCTATCACCCATTTCCTGACCTTCCAACAATTGGCGTAGCTTTGTTTCATCGAAAATGCCATACCGTTTCAACAATTCCTTTTTCAACACACTATATGGATTATCTTTAGGGGGTTTCAGAATTATATTGCGAACTTCCGACGCATACCGCGGGTCCAACTTACTAACGACCGTATGAAATTTTGAACTTTCATTCTTCACATTAGCGTGTGCAAACACACTTTCCGCTAAAGCAAACCACAATTCTGGGTCCTGCTCGTAAAAATGTGGCAAATTTACGTTATCGCGGGGCACTACTACTGGCGTACTCATGTTTTCCACTGCACTTAACTTTTTCGCACAAGAATTCATTTGAAATTAACACACACACACTAAATCACGTCGGGGTCACCGCTTTGGTATATTACCAATGAAATGCGTATGCTAATTTATAATAATAGTTTATTAACAGTTTATGTACAGAGATATCTTATTGCGACAACTGCTCGGGACCGACTGCCTGTTCTCTCATCCGTACGCACTATCCGGCACGACCCTTAACATAGCGACGTTGCCATACGCCTACACCAATATTAAAAATTATTCAGGTTTTTGGGGCTGTATACGATACGTACAAATGTAGAAGTGTGTAGAAGTAATACAAGGGGTTAATTTTAATATTATACATGTGCTGCCATCTATTTTTAAAATTTTGTATTTCAATGGAGGTAACGTCAAATCGCCAGACATAGCGATCTATTTCTACTTGTTTATCTATGTTTTACAACTTCAATACAATGACTCTGACCGCACGCGGTTTTTCCTGTCAAATTAGTTTTATGAGATTAGTTTTATGTTTATATATGTTGATTGCTCTCTGTAAGCTTATTCTGTATTCGATATAATTTAACATCTGTTTTAGACATTTATAAACGATTTTTAAATCTCTAAAATGACAGCTTTACTAAAAAAAAGAGCTTCGGCTTTATATTCGCAAACTGTACAGGTATTTATTTAAAAGTGTTAAATCCATCTGATTTATTTTATTTAAATTGTATAAAAATAATGACTAACAAAATTTACTACGAAGTATAATAAATAATATGTTCTTCAATCTTAAGTCTGCAATTTTTTCCCAGGAATCAGCAAAATCGTCTCCTCATAAAATTAAAGTAATAAGAAAATCTGTATCTAATAGCAGTTCTGGAGCAGTTTATATAAATCTTTTAAAACAAAGCAAAAGTAGCAATGAATCATTGCAATTACTTTTACGGGTTTCAGACAGTTTACAAATTGACGAGTCAGATATTCCTGATATTTTACTCAAATTGAGAGAACAATATCTAAAAGAGAACGAATCAGCAGTTAGAGTTAAAATTGTATCATTGATAGGTGACATAGGATCTCAAGCAGTTACATGTATAAAGGTTTTAATTGATGAGACGATAAATTTACTACAGAGAGAAACATCAAGTAAAGTAACAGCTCAAGGACTTACAACATTATTGAGGTACTTTTTATTTGAGATGATTATTATTGAATAATATTGCATGCTGCTTAAAAGTACTTATTGATGTATGTTAGTTGTTATAAACCTTTAATGTATACCTATCTCCGTTTTCACAGAAGATATGTTTCATAAAAAACTGGGTAATTAAAAATAAAACTATTTTAAATATTGCATTTTTTTAATAAATAAAAATAAAAATTGGTTTGTAAAGATATAACCTTTTTTTACTCTCTAGTTTTTATTTTCATCTTTGTTGAACAATAATTTTTTTTATAATTTACAGATTTTGTAAAAAATCATTCTACTTGCCCACTTTAAATAAATTTATGCTATCAATTATGTCAAAATACTAATTAAAACAAAGTTTAAAAACAATGATGCTCTTTATTTTGGTATTTCAAACATACTAGCTTATACACATATAAAATTTAGTTTTGATCATAAAACAGTGAGTTCCAGTCTTATATACATATTTCCATCATAGCATAAACTACTAAGAACTTGCAACTGTAACATGTTGAAGTTTGATACTAAACGCTCTGTGTCTACTATGTCTATGTATATATGTTTCTCTTTTGTTTTGTGTGAAACAAGTGATTGTTAATAATATTTGTAATGCATGTGATTAGTTAAAGAATATATAATCAGTCAGTCTGTTTTTATCCTTCTGCATGAACAGTTATATTATTATTCACATAAACTTTTAACATAAATTCTACAGGTTATGGGCCCAGATCCCATGTTTTTAAAGTTTATTGAATAAGAGTTTAGTGCTTTTTTAATCATTATGTCGTCGGGATACTTAGTAAATGTACCGAAGTTAAAAGGGCGTGAAACATATGACGATTGGGCGTTTGCAGCAGAAAATTTTCTAATCTTAGAAGATTTAGCAGAATGCATTGTAGAGCCAAAGCACGGGGCAGCACGGGAAATTGATGTGATCAAGGATAAAAAGGCGAGAGCAAAATTGATATTAACATTAGATACAAGTTTATATGTACATGTAAAAGAAACAAAAACCTCAGCCCAGCTATAGTGATTCAGGTTTCACTCGAAGAATTAATCTCTTAAGGACATTAATTTCTACTAGATTAATTAATTGTGAATCAATGAGCTCATATGTCAATCAAATAATAGAAACAGGGCAGAGATTGAGGGGAGCGGGATTTAATATTGATGATGAGTAGGTAGGCTCTTTGCTCTTGGCAGGATTGCCAGAAAAGTTTTCGACGATGATTATGGCGATTGAGCATTCCGGTATAGCCATTACAACGGACGCAATAAAAACGAAGCTGCTGGATATAGGAAACGATGTTGCGGTTAATAATGATGAGAGCGCCTTTGTAGCAAAACAAAATGGCAGGTACAAGCAGTGCCAAGATTTAAACTCGAATAATTTTGATACTAAAAAGGAAATTAGATGTTTTAAATGCAAACGACTTGGCCATTATAAAAATAAATGTCGTTTCAATACTGTGAATAATGAGCCTGATGAAAATGCATTTAACATAGTTTTTTCAACTGGTACATACAATAAAACAGATTGATATATTGATTCGGAAGCCAATATTCATCTTGTGAATGACAATAACAGTTTAAGAGAATACAACAAGAAACCTGATGTGCAGGAAGTAAGGACAGCTATCAATATCCAAATGAAAGTAGTGTCTTGTGGCAGCGTTTCTCTTAGGACAGAGGTTTATGGTCAAGTTTATGATGTTGAAGTACAGGATGCTCATTATGTACCACAATTGTCAGCTAATTTATTATCTGCTAGCGCTCTTACCGGAAAGGGTAACAGGGTTGTATTCAATGATAATAAATGCAAAATTTATAACAAAAATAACACTTTGGTTGCAGTGGCGGTACTTACAGGTGGAGTATATAAACTCATAACAAATAATATTAATTGTTTGTTAGTTACAGATCCTAAGTCAGGAAATATATGACATAGACGGTCAGGACATATAAATAAAACAGATTTGTGTAAATCGAGTAAAGGCTTAGTGAAAGGACTCACCATATCCGAGAAGGCAACATCAGACATAAATAATTGTATAGTTTGTTGTAAAGGAAAGCAAACTAGATTGCCATTCAAACACAAAGGATCAAGAGCAGTAAAAATTCTAGAAAATATTGAAGATGTGCCTAGCAAGAACCCAATAGAACCAGTAGTGAACAGTGTTTCAGTCGGGTTTAATGAAATGCAGCCTGTAATGGAAGAAAAGAATCAAAATGCTGGCAATGATCATGAACAAAATGTCATAAAAACACGAAAGTCTAAAAGAAAAAGAAAGAAGAAAATGTTTGACGATCATGTCACATATGCGTGTAACAATTTTCAGAGGCCGAGTGCATGGCAACGACAGGTGCTTCCAAAGAAGCGATATACTTAAAAAGTTTGTTAATGGAATTAACGGATATAGATGAGAGTGTATGTTTTTAAATTTAAGAACGATTCAGAGAATTTAGTAGGATATACAGATGCAGACTGGGCAAGTGACAATGTTGATAGAAAATCATACACAGGCTTCTGTTTCAAATTCTCCAATAGTATTATATCTTGGGAAAGCTCTAAACAGAAAACTGTAGCATTGTCAAGTACAGGAGTCGAGTATATGGCAACATCAGATGCTTCCAGCGATATACTTAAAAAATTTGTTAATGGAATTAATGGATGTAGATGAGAATGTACGTATTTACAATGATAACAAGTCAGCACAAAAACTCTCATACAATCCAGTTTTTCACAAAAGATCAAAACACATTGATGTGAGACATCATTTCATCAGTTTCTAAAGCTGTCAGGTATGAGTACACAAGTTGTTTAGTATAGTGGGGGTGTTGAAGTTTGATACTAAACGTTCTGTGTCTACTATGTCTATGTATATATGTTTCTCTTTTGTTTTGTGTCAAACAAGTGATTGTTAATAATATTTGTAATGCATGTGATTAGTTAAAGAATATATAATCAGTCAGTCTGTTTTTATCCTTCTGCATGAACGGTTATATTATTATTCACATAAACTTTTAACATAAATTCTACATAACATACATTTTTTATTGTTGTATTTTGACAGTAAAACAATGAAAATGTTATTGAAGAAATAAGCAAATTAAAGTTCAGTGTTTATAATTACTTGTCAACACAAGTTAGAAAATTTGGTTAAAAAAAATATTTTCAAAAACCTTGTAAGATTGAAAATATGTAAAATGAGTACTGTGTAAAATGGGGTATAGGTATAATATCAATAAATCAGTAGTAATAAAAATTTAAAAGACAAATAGTGTAACCTGAGAAAGACCACTGATTATTTAGTTTTGTGTGACTATCAGTCAAGTGATTTCTTTGTAATTGGCAGAAAAGAGTAAAAAATTTTATCAACAAAAATCTTGAATCGATTTTAAAAATTAACTAGTGGGGTGCATGGCATCATGTCTTAAGGCAAATTGCTGAAACTTTCTTTACAGTAATTAAACATTCGAGAAATGAAAATAATCAATAATTGTTTTAAATAATTTTAAATAGTTTATTATATATTTTAAATACATACTGTAAATTTATAAGTGCTTATTAAATTGGGCGACGACCGTATTCTACAATTTATGAGTCTGAAATTACAAGATGTTTGTTAATTTTTTTTTTTTTTTAATTTGAATTTTTTGATTTTAACTTTTTTTCAAAATTTTGAAATTTTTTTGACCCGCACCGTTTACACAAGCAAAAGGTTTTATGAATCAATCTAATCGGATGATCCGTTCTTTCAAAAACTGCATGACTGATTTTACACCCTTTGCGCTCTATTCCTCCGAAACGTTCCATACCTTCGAAACGTGCCTTTTGCAAAAACGTTTCGCGATCGAGTACGAACTGAATGTTTTTTCAATCATACAAATCTGTTATTCCGTCTGTCGAAAATGTCGAGGACATTCTTTATGCCTTAAGGCAAATTGCTGGAATTTCAAATGTTTTCAAATAGATTATTATAAATACTATAACTTATATGTGTTTACAGAAAAGTAAATAAACAAAACTTCAATTAATAATCGAATTTAAAATTAAGGACATTGTCTAATATTTTTAAGAATTAAGTATATAAACTGAATTGCAAAGTAAAAATTATTTATTTGAAGTATATAAGCAAGCTTTAGAACTTTAGCTATAATTAACTTCCCGTGCAAGTTATAGTAATCGCAAAAAAATCGAAAATGAAAATTTTTATATATCTTTACGTTTTCAAAGTTTCTGAATATTTTAGCATACCTTAGAAAAAATGGATGTATGTGTGAGTGTGTGTATGTGTGTGCGGATACAAATTTTCGTCGACGATTTCGGGAACACCGATGAACCGATTTAAATAATTCAAAAAACATTCGATTCGTATTGATAAGGAGACGTGCTGATTAGTTTTTGGCAAAGGCAGGTCTAGCTGTTCCCAAGATACGGGGCAAAAAGTGCCAAAAATGGTAACTCGGTTTTTAAGAGAACGGAGCGTCTGATTTTAATAATTCAAAATAACATTTTACTTGTATTAACAAGATGAAGAATTGATCAAATTTTCATGAAGGCAGGTCTAGCTGTTTCGGAGATCTAACAAAAAAAGTAAAAAAAATGCCATTTGGCGGTCAAAAATGAACATTAGGCATATGCACATCAAATTATCAGATATTTTATAGAGATTTTAACAATAAGTATAAATTTTGTTTACATTCCTATGGGTTTCGTACCAATGTTTATCCGTTAGACGGCGACGCGGCGCTTACGCGCTTTGACGTTTCGACGTTTCGTGTTCTATGCGAAGCAATGCGATTGCTTTGAAAAAAAGTTCAAAATTTCCAAAATATGTCAAAATAAAGAAGACATTTTTTCTCAAAAAAAAAGTAATTTTTTGTCGAAAATATAGTTTCTCAAAAATCTAATTTTTTCGAAGTAATTTTTTTTCAAAAATGTTAATCGTTTTTAAAAAAATAATAATATTTGTATGGGAAGTTCCAGCAAT